GCAGAGGGGAGGGGTGACAGCAAGGGCTCCAGGAGGTTAGTAGATTGTTTGTTGTCAGTTTTTACTCCAACTTCAGGGCTGGAAATATTGGGTCCATGTGCACCTTAGTGCACACAAAATTGGAGCTGTGCACCCAATTCTTTTCTGTGGGTGCACTGGTGCACCCAAATATTTTTGTTCATATTAAATGTATACAGTAATACTGGATATTCTTGGCATCTAAGTGTCAGAAAATCTTTGTTGTAGTACTTGTTTAGGATTTTGAAGTTAGCTCCCATTTCAGATTCAAGCTTAGAAGAGGAGAAGTAAGATCTGTAATTAGGTTTTGTTTTATATGGTACACCCAGAAATTTTCTGTGCACCTATATTTTTAGGTTGCAGGTTGCTTAATTTTTCTTCTGCAATATTGAAAATGTTTCTTCAAAATGCAGAGAGTAGGTGGGTATTTCTAAGACAACGTATTACATGTATTTCGCAGCTCCCCCGACGTCCCAGCTGGAGGCCCTGTCCCTTGGTGAGAAGGGAGCGGGCGCGGCGCCTGCAGCCCAGCCGTTTGGACGGCGCCGGAGGGGCGATGTCGTCATCGAAGAGCCGCACACTCGACCGGCTCACATCCAGGACAAGAAAGGTGCGTTTTCATGACAGTTTTCTAGGCTATGATTTGATTTGTTTTATTGAGATTGCAACAGTGCAATACACGCAGAACAGAGGCAGCTGTTGCTGGTGTTGTGGCCCACACATAGAAACAGATACTGTACAGACAATACTCATTTTCACTTGAGTTTAGTGAGAAAAGTCATGTAAAGTGCCTTTCCCAAGGGCCCAAGATCGGAGGCAAGTCAGGACTTGAACCCGGGACCTCTTGATTCCGAGTCACGCACGCTGCCGTTGCGCCACATGACCCCATAGGCTATAAGTTCTATGTTTTTTTGCTTGTGTCCATGTAAGTTGTCCTGTTTATTCTGTTACAGTGATGGAAACATCTTTCTGACACATTTTGTCTGAAACTGACCTCTTTGGACAAAGTGAAACTTGCATGAGGACACTTATTTTCAATGCCAATGTTGGAAAACTGATTGTACAACGTTACATCACTCAGGTGTCAGATCATGGAGCTAGGAAAGGTCGATCAGCTCTAAAAATTTATGTCCCTTGCAGGGGTCCACACAAAAAAGGCCC